ACATATATTTCATATATATTAAATAGCTTGATACTGTCAAATAGTTCACTGAGGCTCTGTATATTTTTTCAGTATTTTATCTCTATACTGCATTTCAGATATTCTCTATTTCTGCAACTTCAAATTCATGAATCTGTTTTTCTGCAGAGCCTTATCACCTGTAATATCCATCTGGTCTATAGTTTTCATTTTTAAAAGTTCCATTTGATTCATTTTTATATCTTTATTTCTCTTCTGGTCATGGATCATATTTTTCTAATTCCTAAGATCTCTAAGAGTTTTTGATTAGATGGTGAAGATAGTGTATTATATGTTGTTCAACGTCTGAGTTCTATTACTATTTTTTTAAGTGTTATGCTTTTCTCTGATAGGCATTTGAGTCAATTTTCGTTTAGTTTGATAGTCTTAAGACTTGTTTTCAGGTTTTGCCAGGGTGGTCCCAGATTATCTTAAAATCAAGGGTTCATTAATTCCCTTACTGATTTCTAAATTCAATTCTCCAGGGAGTCAATTTGGATTCTCTAGTCTTGCTGGTAGGAACTTCAATAATCCTTAGCCCTTTGTAGGTCTTGGGACCATTCAGTCCACAGATTTCCAATCACTTTTTACCCAACCTCATGAAATTTTACCCTTTGCATGCATGTATTAAAAATCAGCATAGGTTCAAAGGACCCCTACACAGATTTCTAGAGTTCTTTTTCTGCATAGCTCTTGTCTCAAGAAATCTGTGCCACAAATTCCAGCCTCCTCAGATGCTCTGAAGGCTGATCACTCTCTCCTCAACTCAGTAAGATTACTGTCTCTGCTTACAATACCTCCCTCCCATCCTCCCTTTACTGCTCTAAGCCCTGAAATATGCTTTCCAATCAGAAAGCTGGGGCTGTCCTAGGTTTTACTTCTTTTTTCTTTTAACTCTCAGATATAATGGCTCTGCACTGCCTGTGGTTTAATGTCTGAAAAACAGTTGCTTCATCTATATTTGCTTGGTTTTCTAGTTATTTGAATCAGGAGGATTAATGTAGTCACTGTTATTTCATCATGGCTGAAAGTGGAAATCCTTCAATTGATTGAAATTCATGTAAGAAAGAACACAAACTAAATATTACCCCACAAGTTGAGGTTTGATTTTTAGAGAATGTCAAAATGATAATGTACACTACAATAAATTATTATAAACACTGAATTTCTATCAAAACTGGAAGGTCAGTCTTTGTGAAAAAATTAGGCAGATTTAAGATAACTAAGAGTCATTAATTAGAATTCCATAATTGGCAGTTTTGAGTTACAGTTATGAGAGTCATCCACATAGAGTCAAAGATAGTAGGTTGACATTTACATTGAGGATTCAGAGTACAGCTGTACGCTTATATTAAGTTTGACAGAGGGCCACTGTCAATGGAAGACCACCAGGCTCTGTAAACCATGAGTCTGACCTAATCTAACAATTCCTGTGTTTGCATTTTAACCAACATATCCCTGATCAGGAAATAAAATGTCAACTGTAAGAATTGTTCACCCTTGAAAATAACTCTATGATATTTTTAAAAATATGTATCACATGAGAGCAAAAAGAAAACAATATGCTTTCTATGAATTGTATTACTGATGTTGGCCAGGACTGGTAAGAAAGGAAACTGACTCTAGAAATCTACCTTGATTTTTCTTGTTTCAGTTAATTCTCAGAGCATTTGCCTTGAGATTAAAAAAAAAATTAGCTTTCTTTCTTCAACCCTAGCGTATATTATTCATAAAGGAACCAATTAAATGTAGCTAATCTGAAACAATGCAAGGCAGCATTATAATCCTTGTTTCTAATGATGTCTTACTCTTAATTTTCATGTAAATAACTGAATGTTTTGTTTATGAAATGGACCTTGATCATAAGGAGATATTTATAATGTTGAGCCTTCAATATGAAGTAAAGCTTTCATAAACCCAGATGTAATAATGAACAGTTTAATTTGAAACATTTTTATGTTACTTGGTTGCCCTTGATTTCAGGAGTACTTGGTTTAAATGCATAGTAAGTACATTTTCAAGCATATCCAATTTACATGCCTTAAAGACTTCTACCACCTTAACGCTTAATTTAGAAATGTCCTTTAAAATGATTCTTAAAAATCAGATGCACTTATTATTTTTATAGCTGCAATATTTTAAAAGAGAGTCTTCATATAAAAATGTAGTTGTCACTGACAAAGTGTATCAATTAGCTAATGTTCAACAATGATCATCAATGTCAGAGAGTGTAGCCTTGTTGAAATTTTAGTTTTGCTATAATGGTTTCCATAAATTAATAGGTACCATAAAAGATGATGCCTGGCAAAAGGTAGGTGCTTAATAAATATTGTTAAATGAATTAATGAATGAATTAATGAATGCATTTTTAAGGTCTTAAAAATAAATCTGTAAGTGCTGGAATACTTAAGAAGTAAAAGCTTCATTGAGGTTAATTAAGCAAAATTAAACATTCTTCTAAGCTCAGAAAATTGTTTTTAAAAATACCAGCAGTCCTTAGGCAACATAGGAGCTGTTAGTTAAATGGATTAAAGAAAGAGATTGAGAATAAAATTTCAACACGTACCCAGTCTACTAATTTGCTGATCATTGATGAACACTGGTTACACATGCTTTTGTTGAAACGGATATATGCTATTGGTTCACATAAATAGCATGCATAGTATTAATTTTGGTTAAATCTCTTATTTTCAAAATTATGTTTTTATTATGTTAAATTTTCTAATTGAATTTCTTACTTTAATACCCTTTTTCTCTTTCACAGCCTTTAATAGAATGAATTGTTAGTTTCTGGTATAAGGGTCCTGATATTGAAATAGACCATGTATCTATCTATTATAGAAAGTATAGAAATAAAAATGCATGTACTCAAACAGTAAACAGAGGTTGCATTGCTATATTCCATCTATCATCTGACCTTAGCCACATTGGATTTTCTTTCTTGTTGATAGAATAAGGTGAATTATTCCTCAAACTTTCTTCTGTAAAATAAATAGACTTATAAATAAAAACAATTAGAAAATGTTCGGTCATTATTCAGGATTGAATTTTGGATAAATAAATCAAGAATTTACTTATAACTGTATATTATGTGATTATGACTATTTTCCTACTGTATTTAACAATGCAATGTTTACCTTTTATATTACTAAATTTTCTTCTCAAGAAAATCGATAATACTTAGGGATTCAAGGTTTCCTGAGTATAATATTGAAAAACTGTTAAAAACCACTGATAGTCATTCAGCCTAATTATTTACCTTTTGATTATTTGTTTTTTGTTTGTTTGTTTAAGGATTAAAACACAGTGAGCCAACCATGACTGGCAAAACACAGACCAGCAATGTCACCAACAAGAATGACCCCAAGTCCATCAACTCTCGTGTCTTCATTGGCAATCTAAATACAGCCATTGTCAAGAAAGTTGACATTGAAGCCATTTTTTCAAAGTATGGAAAGATAGTTGGATGCTCCGTTCACAAAGGTTATGCATTTGTACAGTACATGAGTGAGCGGCATGCGAGAGCTGCAGTGGCTGGAGAGAATGCCAGGATCATCGCAGGCCAACCACTTGGTAAGTCATTCTCAGTTATGGATTTCACATTGTGGTTCTAGTCACTGAACACATCTGGGTATGGTTTTATTGCTTAAAAGCCAGCACCACTATAATTTCCGTCTTCTTTAATCAATTATAGTATGTGTGTGTGTGTGTGTGTATAATTTATATTGTTTTCTTGGTCTCATATTGTTTTACAATAGATGTCTTATTTTCTCTACAAATTCATAAATTTGAGGTCAAGGCTGATTTATAATACTTATTATCTCAACCAGTCCTAAGAGCCAGGCAAATAATAAATACTAATCACATGTAACTTTCTTTGACTTGAAATGGTGCCTATCTTCCATAAAACCACTATGCTAAGCAAAAAATAACTTTTGCTTGTTATATTATAGCGTTCGATCTGAGGGGCTAATGCATTTTCCTCATTTCTTGTTTTTTGGGGGAGAAGTGGTAAAAAATAGCAAAAGGAAGTAAATTCTTTAGAACTCAGAAAGGAATATAACTGACATTTTAAAAATCTAGTTAAGAATCTTGTACATTATGCCTATTCAATCATGCACAGTGATCAGATTTCTGTCTAATTTCTGTCTGAGAAATAATGTAGTTTTTTCAAAGAAATGAAAAGAATGTAATCTGGAGTAAAATTAAAAGACAGAAGAAAATATTTTTAATTAATGTAGGGATAAAAAGTAAAAATTAGGTAATTATTTAGATGTTTCTGTGTAAGAGGAAAAAATACGCTTAATACATCAGTGATGCCCTACTTTGTATCTCTTGCCCTGTCCATTCTCATATATCAAACTGATTATATAATTTCTTGCCTTGAATATTGAAAAGGCACCTCAGCCTCATTTGCCCAGAACAAAACTCTTGATCTTCCACACCTTCAAGCTTTTCCACCCTCAAGCTTTTCCATCATAATCAATGCAATGTCCATTTATCCAGTCTGTCAAATAAAAATCTAGGTGTCAACTTTGATTCTTCTCTTCCCCCTCCACTCCAATATAACCCATCCTCAAGTTTGCTTGCCAGTATGTTGCAAATATATCCCTAATCCAGTTACTTTTCAATTCTGTACTGAAGGCCATCTCATACAGGAAATGGAATATCTCCCTAGCTGGTCTGCTTCCTTCCATTCTTGCCAGAGTGTCTTTTAAAAACATAGATCAGATTAGGCTATTAACCTGCTTTTAAACCTCGAATGCCTTTCTCATACAGAATAAGATTGACATTCTGTACCATACCTGCAAAGCCCCACACTGCCACATCTTCAGTTCTGTCTCCTTATTCTGTCTTCTTGTAAAACTCTAGCAATACTGGCTGCTTTGATCTGATCTTGAACAATTCCAAGATTGTTCCTACTTCAGGGGCTTTGGACTAGCTATTCCCTCTGCTCAGAAGACAGACCTTTGCTAATTATTTGCTCCCTGCTTTATTGTGTGCTGTGCTCCAGATTTACCTCCACAAAGAGGCTTCTCCTGACCAGCCTTTTTAAATAGAAAAATCTTCTACCCCTTGCTTTTCCCATCGATTCCATTACTGTACTTTAATTTTTTTCATAGCCCTTATCAGTATCTGGATTGCGTATTTTAATTTATGATGCTACCTCTCTCCTGTCCAAAATCATAAAGCTGAAGAAGCATATAAAAGAAATGAGTTAAAAATTGGTCAGGCATGGCTCACGCCTGTTATCCTAGCACTCTGGAAGGCTGAGGCGGGAGAATCTCTTGAGGCCAGGAATTCGAGACCAGCTTGAGCAAGAATGAGACCCTGTCTCTATTCAAAATAGGAGAAATTAG